TGGGGGGGAGCCCAGGGCTGGGGTGGGGGGGCGGCAAAAAGCCTAGAGCTGGCTCTGTCCCTACCATTCACAGCAAGCTGCAGCATGAGGTTTCAGTTCTACACTCCTTCCCCCTCCCTTTCCTGTTAATTGTGGCCGAGGGAATGCTGGGAAATGTAGTTCTTTCCCTGCTCCAGGGCTGGCTCTATAGGCAGGGAGCTAACCAAGGAACTACAGCTCCCAGGGCCCCCTGTTGGTTCTCAGCTCCCAGGCTGGATTCTTGCGCCCCTGCAAATGTGCCGCCCCAAGCACCTGGTGGACCTGGTACTGCTGGTGCCTAGAGCCGGCCCTGCTCAGAGAAGAGCCATGGGACTGATAGAAGGATTGGAAAACTTTCCATAGTGCCAGACTCAAGGAGCTCGAGCTATTTAGCTGAACAAAGAGAAGGTGAAGGGGTGACCCGATCCCAGTCTGTAAGTACCTGCCTGGGGAACAAATATCTAATTATGGGCTCTTCACTCCAGCCGAGGAAGGTCTAATGGGTGAGCTGAACGATCCAAGGCTGGAAGTTGAGACTGGAAATAAGGTGTACATTTTGAATGGTGAGAGAAATGAACCTCGCATCAATGGTCGTGGTGGATTCTCCATCAACAACCGTTTTTAAAATCCAGGTTGGCTGTTCTTCTAACAGATGTGCTCTAGGGATTATTTTGGGGCAGTCCTGCCCCCCTGGATAAGTCCGGTCACAGTGGTCCCTTCTGGCCTTGGATTCTAGGAGTCCATGTGGCTGCGGTACGAGCGGTGTTGCAGAAAGCGGAGCTCATGGGTGAGACACAGCGCTGAGGCGTGCAAGCCAGGCCAGCCCACTGCTGGCCAAACACGGGCCTCAACGACCTCTCCTCTCCAGCCCGGCCAGCCACGTCTCACTACTACTGAGACAATCGCTCCCATCAGAGCCATGGCGCTGGGCTGCCTGGGGAAACCTCTGATTTTATCTGAGCTCTGTGACAGAAATCACTTGGCATGGCTGATGCTGCATTTCCCTCGGAGCTGGCCCCGAACAGCCTCCTCATTCGCCCTCTTGTTCATAGTCAATTTCATCTTCAGTCCCCTGCTTTGCTCTCCAGCCTTTAAAGCCCGGGAATCCCCCAGCTCAGCTCCGCTGCGGGGTGCATCTGTGACAGGGGCCAGCCCCAGCTACTGCAAAGAGAGGTGTGAGGAGACCCCTAGGGTGGAGACAGGCCCCAGCTGCAAAACACGGCTGCGGATTTCAAGTGCCCCAGAGACCACATGGGTGGCTGGATCCCAGGGTTTGCATCAACCCATTCTGGGGAGGGGAACCAGCTGCAAACTTCGGATGCAGACTCAGGTTTCTCTTCCAAGCACCCATAAAGTCCAGGGTGTTTGGGCCCAGGGGATGGGGGTCGGGTCTCAGCTCCAACCCTGATCAACTTCCAGGGTAACTTGCTGCAGACACGGCCCCATCCCCCTGAGGGGAGAGGTACAAGGGAGCGAGACAAGGAGCCTGTGGTGCCCAGCGGGGATGTCCCTTCCCCTCCCCCAGGCCGAGCGCTGTGCCCAGGCCTGTGGCCACACTGTGGAGCTGCCACAGGACTCCCCTGGCAGGTAAAACAGGTGCACCGCCCCCCTCCCCCCCACACACACACACCTTCAGAGCCCTGGTGCTGCCAGGCTGCCACCTGGTGGCTACACGGCAGAACTCCTGTTCTTCGCAGCCCTGGAATACAACCCAGACTGGCCCGCACCGCCGGGGAAAGCAGATTGTCCTGTGCAGCGCCTGGGCCCGAGCAGCCCCCAGCCAGCACAGAAGGGGCAGCCCAAGGACTGCAGAAGCCCAGAATTGTGCTCCCGCTCAGGGCATGAAGGTAATGGAGGAATCCACATTACTAGCCTGGACGGGAGTCGGGTTCCACGCAGAATCCCGCCACTGAAACCAGCCACTTAGAGCCAGGTCCCGTGGTCCCCCGCTCTGTCTCCATGACGCCACCTGCTCGTGCCTCAGTTTCCCCCGGTACAATGGTGATGACACCCACGTCTCTGCATTCTCCTGCCCAGCTGCGGCCCCACTCCCTGCTGCAAAGAGAGATCAGGGTGCTAGGACAGGAGCCATTGACCATGTGAGTCCAGGTTTCCCAGGCCTCACCCTGGGACTCCGCCACACATAAGAACAGCCAGACTGGGTCAGACCAAAGGTCCATCTAGCCCAGTGTCCTGTCTTCCAACAGTGGCCAGTGCCAGGTGCCCCAGAGGGAATGAACAGAACAGGGAATCATCAAGTGATCCATTCCCAGCTTCTGGCAAACAGGCTGGGGACACCATCCCTGTCCAATAGGCATTGATGGACCTAACCTCCATGAACTGATCTAGTTCTTTTTTGAACCCTGTTATAGTCTCGGCCTTCACAACATCCTCTGGCGAGGAGTTCCACAGCTTGACTGTGTGTTGTGTGAAAACATACTTCCTTTTGTTTGTTTTAACCCTGCTGCCTGTTAATTTCATTTGGTGACCTCTAGTTCTTGTGTTTATGGGAAGGAGTAAATAACACTTCCTGATTTACTTTCTCCACACCAGTCATGATTTTACAGACCTCAATCATATCTCCCGTTAGTTGTCTCTTTTCCAAGCTGAAAAGTCCCAGTGTTATTAATCTCTCCTCATACAGAACCCGTTCCACACCGACAAGCCCTTTTCTGAACCTTTTCCACACCCAGCTGAGTTAATACACTTCAGTCCTGCCCTGCAGCACCCCCTTCTTTCCAGTGCCCCCATCCCCTGGAGCAGCCCCTCTAGCTAAGCCCGTCCTGGCTGGTGCAGCAGACTTATCAGATGGGTTGCACGACTTCCCTAGGGGACAGCCTGTCCCGCGCAGCCGCCCAGGAGATCTCGTGCGTCGCCATTTCTGCCACGGCAGAATGCTGCTGCAGCAAAGATCATTCTCCTAGCCCACCTCTGAGTCCCTCCAGGGCTCCCCCTTCTGTATTGCACCAACCACAAACTGCTTGCCTGGCCCTTCATCACCTCCCCGCTGCCCGTCTGTCCCATGTCGTTTCCCACCTCCCATCGGCCCGCAACACCAGCCTCGCTTGTCACATTTCCAAGCACACCCCTTTGTGCTGTCGCCCTGCTCCCCATAAATGCCCACAAAACCACCTCATTGTCCCGCCCCTGCCTGATCAGCTGCTGGGGAGCGGAGACCACAGCCTCCCACGCTGACCAATAGCCTCTAGGCACTACCGCAATACACACCAGAACAGTGGCTGCTGAGAGCCCGGGCACAGAGGTCACGGTAGCCTCTCGGAAGGATCAGGTGCTTTTACTAGCCCTGCACTAAGGTCAGCCCCAGCCAGACACAGCCCCTTGGTGCTGCTAGAAGCAGAGTGGGCAGCGTGGAGGCTACCTGGGGATCTTGACCTTTGTCCGGGGGGGTGGGGTGGAGCAAGCCCAAATTCCTTGCCCACATCCCCTGCCAGTGGGGCATTACTGCTCCAAGGGCTGTACCACTGCCAAAGCCCATTCCCCATGTCTGCTCCAGCACAGCGTCTGCCAGCAGGAAATGCTTCACCACTTCTACCCCCTGCCAGGTCTCCCCGGTTCCTCTTCGGGCCCGGCCGGGCCAGGGCTGGGCTCTAGAGTCTCCCTGCTTCTTGGAAACCCTGAGCAAACTCTGTTCGGTTGTTTGAGTTTAGCCTGAAGCGGGGCCATGACTCAGGCACACAGAGCGCACCGAGGGGGGAGCAAAGGGGCACCTCCAGCCACCCGCCCCCAGGACGGAAAAGCAAAGGGACTTTCAACGACGGTGAAAGGCAACGTTCTAAACCGATAAAAGGAAACTGAAGACAATTAGCCCATGGAATTCCCTGCCACAAGATGTCATGGATGTCGAGTGTAGAAGGATTCAGAGAAAGGGCAGGACATCCCTAAAGACGAGGAACATCCGAATACAGGGGGAGGACAAGAGGCGTAAACGCTCCTGCTTCACAGGGTGCTCGGAAAGTGGTTTGAGCATTGGCCTGCTAAACCCAGGGCTGTGAGTTCAATCCTTGAGGGGGCCATTTGGGGATTTAATTGGGGCTGGTCCTGCTTTGAGCAGGGGGTTGGACTAGATACCTCCTGAGGTCCCTTCCAACCCTGATCTTCTTTGATTAATTCCCACCTGGGCAGGTTACTCCGCCATTATCCACTAGGGGGGGTGTCGCCCCTTCCTCTGCACCAGCTGGTCCCAGCCCTGGAGAGGGGCGGCTGGAGCTGATGGGCGGATGCTGGGGACAGGTCGGTGGGTTTTAAAGCGCAGCCAACCCCAGCGCACCGCTAGGCTGGGAGCCGGGGAAAGGCAGAGGCACAACCACCCCCCCGGATCCAGAGGGGTTTCCCAGCAAAGCGCAGTTCTAACTCTGGACCAGCTGCCGTCCCCTTTCAGCGGAGATCTCTCCTGCAGATCTTACCTCTCCTCCGCGGCGGGGATGGTGCTGCTGCAGGGAAGCAGGGGAGGGGGAGAGGGATGATCCGGTGGGGCCCCTTCTCCTGCCGCCAGCGCAGGGCTGCTCCTTCGGGACCGGCCTCGATGGGCACAGCCCAAGCCAGGGAGCGTCATTAACAGCTACTCTGAGGGGGTCAGACGGGCAACGCCGGGTTACCGCTCTGCGCCACCATAGGGGAGACAGCCCCTTCCGCGTCTGACCTCTGACCTCTGCTCTGCACCGCCATAGGAGACACGGCCCCTTCCGCCTCTGACCTCTCGCTCCCACACCCGGCCGCAGGTGGGAGCGTAGTGGAGGCTGCATGCACAGGCCAGGCCTGGAGGAAGGACAAGTGATCCTGCGGGGAGCCCCGGGGCCAAGCCAGGAGCGTCCCGGCGTCTCCACTGAGCGAGGACACAACAAGCAGGTGTCGGGAAAGACAAGCACGGGGCTCTGCCAGGGCAGACCCTGCAGCAGGCGGGGGAGGGAAGGGGCGGAGCATCACGACGAGATAGCCAATCCCAGCCCACACCAACTGCGCAGTTGACACCCAATCAGAAACGTTTATTGCAAGGTGCAACTAGCCCTTTACAGAGGTGGGGTTTGGCTGGGGAACCACCGTCCGGCAGGGGCAGGGCGGGAACTCAAAGGCAGCCCAGACCCGGCACGATCCGGTGACACCCGGACGAGGCCCCAGCACCAGAGCCGGCCGTGTAACACACGGTGCGGTACAGATGGATCTTGGATGCCAAGGTCAAATATTTCATATACACACCCAGCTCACCCGAGATATTGCACTGGGGAAAGGAGCCCGGGGTTCTGGGGGGTGGGGACAAGGTTCCCCCTAAAACTTCCATGTGTAAAGGCAGCAAATATTAAAAAAGGGCTTAACACCCCCCCCAGCCCCTGAATAGAAACTCTGACATGGGGAGAGAGAGATGCCACCGCCCCACTCAGCACTAGGCACCCCCAGAATCAGCGTGCGAAACTGACCAGAATCAGCATGCGAAACTGATCGCTCTATCTGCACTCTCCCAGCTCAAGCGTGAGGTCCGTTGGCAGACAGCAGCTTGGCATCTCAGAGGGTGCAACAGAGCAGGACCCAGCCGGACCAACCAAGGGGCTGGTTCGCAGAGTAAGGAAACAGGGAACAAGCCCCAGAAACTCCCTCTCCTGAGCAACACAGGTGGGGCGCGGGGCTGGCAGAGCATGACACTGATTGCTTTGCTGGCTCGCCTCCAGGCGCTGGGGATGTCAGTGCAAAGAGCAGAGCACCCCCAGCACACTCAGGGCCCCGTGCATCTCCCCAGTATCAGCCTCCATGGCCCCCGTGCATCCCCGTAATGGGAGGGAGCCCCCCAAAACCCGACAGCAACAACCAAACAGCAAACTGCCACGTAAACCAGAGAAGTCCCAAGAGAACAGCCGTCCGGGGCAGGGCTCCAGCCGGAGCCAGGGCAGCACCTGGGAACAAAGACAGAGGTGAGACCGGCAGCTCATCCCCCACCAGGCAGGACCAGCCGCTGCTCCCATTCAGGGCAGGGGGCGAACGCCGCCCATCTCGCTCTCGGTGCCTTGAACCAGAGCTCAGCCCGAGCTCACCCGACTGCAACCCCTCAATGGAAGGGGCTGACAGGACCCCCCTCCTCACCCCCAAATGAGCTCTTCCATCGGGTCTCTGGGAGCAGCCCAACCCCTGCTGGAAGCCGCTTCCCTGGCCAGGAACATGGGGCCTCACAATGCCACCCACGCTGCACAGCTCTCCCAGGGGCTAGGTCCAGGGTACCCCCATCCCCTGTACCTCTCAGCTACTGCCTCCGTCGCTGCTTCTTGGCCGGCATGATGGGGGTGAGTTCTTCTTCCTCCTCTTCCTCGCTCTCCTCTTCCTCAGACAGCGCTCTCCTGTGCACTGGGACACGCGGACAGGCCCTTGTCACGCTCTCTGTGCACCGGGCCTTTCAGACACAGGGGCGTTCTCACGCCTCCGCTACCCCCGACCTCCTCGCTGCCCACGGCTGGGACGCGCCCACAGGGAGAGTGAGGGGCCAGGGCCAGCTGCCTCGGACACCACCCAACCAGCCCGAGTGCTCAGGGAGCAGCCCAGGGGGGCAGCTCTGGGGCACGGTTATGGGGCCAGCTGCTCAACTGACCCACGCGCTCAGCTAGGCACAGTGGGAGCTGGTTGGGGCAGATAACAGCACTCAGGCATCAGACCCTCCTCTGCAGACGCAGCCCAGCCATGTCACCTGACCTCCCTGCAGGCGGGAAATTCCTCCCGATCTCCGACCCCGGGCCTCCCCTGAAGGAACCCGCTGCCTGGACAGAGCCCCCAGTCAGCATTTCCCCCTGGGCCGCGTCCCCTTCCGTGCCAAGCACCGCCCCCCGCTCCTTACTGATGTGGTGCCGTCCGGAGAGGTGCACGGGGCCGGAGCCGGATTTCAGGTGGAAGGTCACAGGTGGTTGGAGCTGGAAGTTGTCCAGGCTGAGCTGGGAAGAGACAGCGAGAAGCGGCAGAGTCAGTGGCAGGGCCCGAGCCTGGGGCTCCCCCACCGCAAGGAAGGGCTCTTGGCTGGCCCTGAACCACGTGATGCTTCCTGCCCAGGCCCCCACAGCTCCCGAGGGGGCAGCAGAGCTAGCCAAAGAGGGCACCCTGCAGCCACAGCATTAAGGACGGGGTGAATTTCAGTGACCGAGGAACCATGACGCAGGGAAAGAACGTTAAAGTCCGGCCAATTCCCACATGCACAGCCCTGCCGGTGCCTCTCAACCCCGACCCGCCAGCCCCCTGCTAACCCAGTCCTGGGCTCCCCCCCAGCTCTGGCCTGGGTCAACCTCTCCTCTGATGCAGACAGGCAGCACAGCCACCAGCTAAACCGGACACGGGGGGACCAGGGCTTTGGGCTGCAGCACCACTGGAGGGGAAGGGGATTCCCACCCGCTGCAGTAGCACTTGGGTTTATATCCTCCGCGGGCGGCAAACACTACAGGGTCATACACAAATAGCTGAGCAGGTCCGATTCTGTCCAGCAGAGGGCGGCAGTGAGCACAACCGGGCATGCTGGGTAAAAGCTAGAGAACAAACCCAAGGCTTACACACACCCCCAAACCCCCAGCCCCCGCAGGGGTCGCCCCACGAGGTCCTTTTACCGCGGGCTGGCACGACAGCTTCAGATTGGCCACCGGCACAGCAATCTCCTGGTTCTGACGGTCACGCCCCACGACTTCCACCACGTTGCATTCGTCCTTTGCGCCGTCTGTCAGGCACACCTGGAAGGGAGCAGAGCGAGGGGTTAATAGGGGCGGCCACCTCAAGGGGAGACGGTGCATCCAACCAGGGTCTGCCTGCAAAGGACGGCTCGCGCCTGGACCAACCCCAGGATCAGAGCAGTACATGGATGGTGCAAGCAGCCACCGTGACGTTGGATAGGCCTGTGGCTGGGACACTGCCCCAGGGCACGAGCCAACCACCAACTGACCGGGTTAGCTGGGGACTTCCCGCAGCAGCACGGTCCACTACGGGGTTCTTGCACCTTCCTCTGAGGAAGCTGGTGCCGACACCTGGCAAGAGAGAGGACGCTGGAGCAGAGACACTGCCGGCCTGGCAATTCCTCGGTGAAGTGACTTGCCCAAGGACGGGCAGGAACTCACAGGCAGAGCTCAGAGCACAACCCAGGCGCTGAGCTTGCTCTAACCACTAGCACATGCCCCAGGAACGAGGGGCGCAGATAAATCAAGCAGACTGCACTGCATCATGTGATTGCTCCCCCCAGCTCCCTAGAGGGACACGGTTCCCCCCTTGCACCGCTCTCTCCGGACCGCCGGGCAGACCGCGCTCCGTGCTCACACACAGCTTCCAGGCCCGGGCCCCAGCCAGCAGAGGCTGAAGGATCCGTCCGTGGTGGCCTGCTCTGCCTGAGAGGCAGCACTCTCCTGTAGAAGAGGCAGGGCCTGAACGTGAGCTGCGTTCATTTTGCTTAGGCTCGTCATTAAGACACAGAGCAACGGCTCCTCTCGTCCCACGTCCTGCCTCCACCAGAAGCCGCTGCTGCATGCTTCGGAGCCCCATCGCGAACCTGAGGGTGAGCAGGAACTGGGTGGGGGAGAGGGAAGGACAGCACAGAAGCCAGCCAGAAAAGGTAAGTGACATTAGCCCTGTCCGCAGAGCAAGGGTTCCCTCTTACCATAGACAGGGCCAGGATGTGCTCAGAGTCGTCATCTTCATCCACCTTAAAGGTATAGGACCTGGTACTGCCCGTCAACTCACAGCCTGGGGAATCCACGTGAGGAGTCAATAAAATCAAGGGAGCTGCTACTTCCCCCTAGAGAGCCATGGGGAGAGACTGGGGCCGCTGACCCGGCTGAATCCCAAGCTCTGGCCGCCCGACATTCCCTCCCGCAGCTCTAGCTGGAGAAGCTGGTGGCTGGCTGAGAGTCACCCCAGAGCCAGCTGCACTCCAGTGCTCAGAGAAGGAGCCCTAGCCCATCCGCACAGCCGGGAAGGGTGGCACTGTGCCTCCTTTGGGAGACGAGAGCAATGCACTGACACCCAGTGCTCTGGCTGGTTCTGGGCCAGCAGCACCCGAGTGCCAGGCTCCTTTTCCAAATAGCTGCCATCCGTTTCTCCCCGTGGGGCAGCACCAAAGCCCACCCCCTAGCGCTTGGCTGAGATGAGATAATGGGCCAGCAGGCCGCGGAGAGCGCCGTGGGCCCCGACAGCCCCCCAGCTACCAGGGAGGGAGTGAACGGCAATGGCAGGGCTGGGAGCAGCTGGAGAAAGGCACCACGCGGTACCTGAGCTCTCATAGCTAAGGGCAAACTCACCAGCACTGCAGCCTGGCCCCCCAGTTCCTCCATCTCAGCTGGATCCCTCCCCCGCCCCATGGGGCCCGTCACAGTGTCCCCAGCACAGACCCTCTTCCCCAGCCAGGCCTCCCTCTATACCCCAGCCCCCACGAACCCCCAGTCCTCCCTGCCCCCAGACACTCACCCTCTTCCCCACCCTGACCTGCTGCCTTGCCTGTCCCACACTAAATACACCACCCCCAGCCTAGTTACTGCTGCCCAGGCGCCCAGGGAACCCCGCCTGGGGACCTGCTGAGAGGGCGTCCCTCCCCTCGGCCCCCAACCTGCCGCAGCGGCGTGGCCCGGCCCCAGCCCAGACCCCCGCACCTCCTGTCAGAGCCCTCACCCCCTGCACCCAACCCTCTGCCCCTCATCCCTGGCTCCACCCCAGAGCCCGCCCCCCCAGCCAGAGCACTCACCCTCCCTCAACCCCCTGTCCCAGCCCTGATCCCCTTCCAGCACTCCAAACCCCTCAGCCCCGGCCTGGGGCCCCCTCCTGCACCCCAAATCCCTCATCCCCAGCCCCACTCCAGAGCCCGCACGCCCAGCCGAAGCCCTCACCCCTGCACCTCACCCCTCTGCCCCAGCCCTGAGCCCCCTCCCCCACTCCGAACCCCTGCCCCCCCCCAATGGATTTTGTTATGCACGATATGAAGGTGATGCGTCCCACCTCACCTCCTTATTGGGGCACATCAAATTCATGCCCCCAAATGGGTGGAAAAAGTTAGAGGGCACACTGCCCCCAACGCCTCCCATCCCCCCAACCAGAACCCCCCTCCAAACCCCTGCCCCCCAACTCTGATTCCCCGCCCCCAAACACACAGCCTCCCATCCCCCCAACCAGAACCCCCTCCAAACCCCTGCCCCCAACTCTGATTCCCCGCCCCAAACACACAGCTTCTCCCCCAGCATGTGCGCTCCCAGCTACAGGCCGGCTCCCCACGTGTGCGCACCCCACCCCACTCCTAGGCTCCAGCGCCCCACGTGTGCGCTCCCCACTCCACTACTAGCAGCCCCAGCTCCCCCCGTGCGCTCCCAGCCCGAGCCCCTGCCCCCCCGTGTGCTCCCCACCCCACGCCTAGCGACCCTAGCCCCCCACGTGTGCGCGCCCCAGCTCCCCACGTGCGCTCCCGGCCCCCTCCCGCACGCCCCAGCCCCCCACGCGTGCGCTCCCAGCCCCGGCCGCACTCACCGAAGACGAAGTTGCCGAGGCAGAGCCCGGCCCCGGCCCCGGCCGCCCGGCTCTCCAGCTCCAGGAAGGCGGCCATGGCTGCGGCGGAAGGCCGGGCTGGGCAAGGGGCGGATGCAGAAGGCGGATCGGCCCTGCCCAGAGCCAGAGGAGCCGCCCGCTTCCTCCCTGCGCCCTGGCCCGCCCCTCGCCGCCCCAGGGGGGCCCTGGTGCTGCCGGCTCCAGGGTTTCTGCCGCCCCAAGCAAAAAAAAAAAAAAAAAAAAAAAAAAGCCGTGATCGCGATCTGTGGTGGCAATTCGGTGGAAGGTCCTTTGCTCCGAGCGGGAGGGACCCTCCGCCGAACAGCTGGACGTGCCGCCCCTCTCCCCAGCGGCCGCCCCAAGCACCTGCTTGGTAAGCTGGTGCCTGGAGCCGGCCCTGGCCCCAGGGAGCTTGTCTCTGGTCAACCGCCAGCCCGCCGGGGGGTCTTAGCCCTCGCCACGCCCGGCAGCCACCGGCAGGAGCCACTGTCCGTTCCCAGCGGGCTCCGGAGAGCCCAGCCCTGGCGGCGTCTCCCTCAGGCCCCGCTCGCTTAGCCGGGCTCGGCAGGGACTGGGCCGGTTTGCTCGGGCCCAGGGTACGTGGCTGGGTTTACCACACAACCCTAGAACAAGACACTTCTGCTCAATATCCCTCCCAGGCCCCAGGATGGAGGCATTTTAGCTTTTCTCCAAACCCCTCACTGCATACAACCAATGTTTCCATTTCGCCCTAGTTTCACAAACGTCCAACACATTCAACTTTGGGGCTAAAAGGTTCCCGTGTTGGCTCCTGTCCAGCTGGAATGTAGTTGTAGATATTCATGTGGGACTTGCCAGATGGGCTCAGATCCAACATCCACGTAGTCCAGCACGTCCCACCTTACACAGCCCTCTGCGCCAGGTGCGTAAGAGGGTGTGAGAACCCCGCAGTAGCAAAGTTGCCCCCCAACTTCTCAACATTAGACCTCATCCGGATCTCTGCTAGTTAAAGATTGGCTTCAAATGCATACGTGTTTTAACAGGGGAGAGTGCGTTCTGTGTGATAGGACAAATTCAAATATAATAGATATCTAAATAAATATCAAAATAGGTGTTGCCATTCTCCCTATAAATATCCCATTTGAATGTGCTCTGTGCCTCAGTTTCCCCACCTTAAAGACTTATTCAGAGTTTGAAATTTGGCCTGGACGGAGTCTCTTTTCCTTGGGTAGGGGAACAAAGTTCAAAAGGAAGTTCCGAGGGATTGAAAAGTCACTTTTTGAGGACGTGAAATAGCAGCGGGGGCTGCTGGGACTGCATGCAGGAGACAGATTAGGAGAGGGAACTCACAGAACACACACATGCGGCTAAATGCAAAATAAGGAAATCAGGCTTGACCTCAGAACAAGAGGAAATGTCAGAAGGGAAAAGTGTGTCTCTTGCAGTTTGAAATGGTGTTCGGTACTTGGTGCATTGTGCATGCAGCGGTGTTTACTTGCAGCACGCTGTTCAGCCACGAAGGGACGCAGCATGGTGTACACCGTTCCAGGCAAGGTGTTGTCCCTGGTAAACAAAGCAGGGACTCAAGCTGCGGGGAAGCGTGTCGCTGTTTTCTTGAATAAACTCCTGTTTAAGATGGATAGAGTCAATAGATCATGACACTGAAAACAGTAATAATACCTAGCTCTTATATAGTGCGTTTCACCTGTAGCTCTCAAAGGACACACGATTAATATGGCTGTATTAACAGTATGCGTGAGGCACAGAAACAGCCAGGCGGCGGTTTGCTCTGCGTTGGGGAATTGCCTGCCTGAGATTCATTTGGGTAATGCAGTCAGCACTTCCTACACTAAACCTTTGCCCCAGGAAGGACACAATTGAGTTAGTCGAAAAAAACAGGCCTTAGAATTAATCTTGGTTCTGCCACAGATTCCAGGAGCAGCCTCAGATGGACCAGAACATTGGTCCATGCCTCAGTTTCTCCAGGTGTAAAGCAGAGGTATAACTCACCTATTACACCAGAGTGGTGGTGAAGCTTTTCATTTTACAAGCCTTCTGCAGCTGAGAAGCTCTCTATAAGAACGCAGGACTTGCCAGACTGGAACAGACCCAAGGTCCATCTAGCTGGTAACCTGTTTCCAATAGGGGGCAGCACCTGATATTCCAGAGGAAGGGGCAGAAACCCCACAGTAGCAGATGTAAGGTAATCTGCCCCCGCAACCCCATTAAAGTCTCATCTAATGCCTGAAAGCATGAGGTTTTCTATCCCTTCCAAAACTTCCCCCTTGTTAGCATTAACTGTTATAACACTGGATATTCTTGTTATCCATATAAGCATCCCACTTCAAAGCTAAATTCTTGGCCTCAACAATGTCCAGTGGCCTTGAGTTCCAAAGTCTAATTACACATCATGTCAAAAGTATTTCCTTTTGTCAGTTGAGTTTGCCACCTTTCAATTTCACGGAACAGCCTCCAGGGTATTACTACTGGTGCTGTTAAACAGCTGCTGCGTTCTGCCGCAGAAGCGGCTGGAACTCAGTGGTAAATACAGTAATTACTGTATATACAGAGCCTGACCCTGGCAAAACCTGCATGCAGGACTCTGGCAGAAGTTTCCAGGAATAGGGTGCGGGAGGGTGAAGGTTTCTATTTTCAGGTCAACAATTTGTAGCTAGTAAAAGTGCTAGCCAGTAGCAAAGCCTGTAAAGGACTTTAAGACCCATCCAGGCAGCGCTATAGGAATCCAGGATGATTAGTATTACTCACTTGTCTCAGCTCCATAGGATGCAGGAGTTTTAACTTTACCGCCGGAGTGGATCTGCAGCCAGTTGCCACCCTACCGCTGATCACAGGCCCTGGCTGCCTGTGGACACCTAGATCCATGTAAGAATGTACCCCAGGAAAGTAACGGTTTTGCTGCTAGCTGGTGATTTAAAAACCAAACGGCCACACAGCGCAGTTCCACTGCCTCGCTCGTGCCTCAGGGCACCCAGCCGGCTTCACAAAGAAAAAAGGTCCTTTCTAGGTGGACTCATTTGATTGAGCAGCTGTGTTGGGGAAGGAGGGGGTATCTGGTGAAACGTCGTATTGATAGTATTTTATTTCCTCTCAATAAAACCGGAAGAGTTATTACCCCGCTGGGACCCTAATGAGTTTTCCTGGTAAGTGGCCTCTTCTGTCCGACGTTGAAAGAGAAGAGACGGGGGAGCGGTGAGGGGAAGGAGGAAACCTCGGACTGCTGGGCATGCTGAGTGGGGGCAGTAGCTAAACAGTCACCTACAAGATGGAAGACTTTGCTGTATCAGTCTCTTCCCGCCCTCTGTGTACGCCCAGAGCTAGAGCTTCTGGAGACTTGTATCTTTAGCTACTCCGGAGATCAATCCAGATAGCGACAGCACCGTGGGTTCTGCGTTGTCCTGGCTCTGTACGCCATGCTTTCCAGCAGCCCGCAAACCCGGCTGCCTGCTGTCTCCGTATCAGCCTAGCGGGGTTGCTCGTCCCCGTGGTAGAGGAGCAGTGTAACATGCAGATCCACAGTATCAAGGACACTACTTCACTCCAGCCCCCTTCCCCGACGCCAGGGCTTTGACCCCGTGAGAGAGGAACCCGCAGCGGCGAGCAGAGCAAGGGAAGAACCAGCCTACGCAGCGGGGAGGCAGATGGACGAGCAGAAAGCTGAGGAGGTGGGAGAAGGGAAGGTTGCAGGGACAGAATGTCAGTGAAATGAAGGGAACTGTTGGACTTGGCTCCTCTCCGTTCCTTTAGTAAATAGCACTGGCACCTTTAGGGAAAGAAGAGTGGCCTTGAGTCTAAAGACAAGGGAATGGGGGATCTGGGTTCTCCTCCCGCCTCTGTCACTTCGTCGCTCTATGAGCTAGGACAGGGGTCGGCCACCTCTCAGAAGTGGGGTGCCGAGTCTTCACTTATTCACTCTAATGTAAGGTTTCGCGTGCCAGTCATACATTCTAACGTTTTTAGAAGGTCTCTTTCTATAAGTCTATAATATAGAACTAAACTACTGTTGTATGTAAAGTAAATAAGGTTTTAAAAAATGTTTAAGAAGCTCCATTTAAAATTAAATTAAAATGCAGAGCCCCCCGGACCGGTGGCCAGGACCCGGGCAGTGTGAGTGCCACTGAAAATCAGCTCGCGTGCCGCCTTTGGCACGTGTGCCATAGGTTGCCTACCCCTGAGCTAGGACAAAACGCCGGGCCTCAGTTTCCCCATCTGTAAAACACCCTGGGCTCTCTCACAGGAGTGTTATGGGGCTATGGTCACTGCAGCTGGGAGAGCACTTGGAGAGCCCGGGCCGGCTGGAACTGTGGCAATGCGAAGTACTGGTATTACCGCTCCCAGTGGTGCCCATACGTAAGGTGGCCCAGCAGGACGGAGATGAGAAGATAGGACTCTGTTCTCCTGGAGGCGCTGGCTGTGATCGGGTGAAGCCATGCGGCAGCAGTGAGCTCACACCACATTCCGTTTAGAGCTCGCACTCCCGCTGGAGGGAAAAGCCGTTCCAGCAGGAGTCCGTTCAACAACAACGTCACTGAAGAGGGATGAGGAGCCGAGCCTGGCCACAGAAAGAGGCAGTACTTCACTGGCTGATGGTTACACCAAGAGGGTTTACGATGCTTGCAAACTCATTGGCCTTCCAGTAGCTGCTTCCCTCTGCCATCTGGCTAATCGGGAGGGGTCATGCACAGGCGCTCTGTGGCCACGCACCCCAGTGCATTGGGGATGAAAATGCCAAGTTTTGCTTTATGATCCCTTAAAGGGACACTCTCAAGCTGTTCGGCAGCCACAAATTTGACCTCCCCCAGCTGGGTTTTGGATTGTGGTGGGTTCACATGGTGCTCCCCCCCCCCAATCCTGTCTGCTCTATATGTGGGACCTGCCAGAGCATGGGAAGTTTTCATAAGGATCCTGAGAACAGGAATCAGCACCGAACAGGGAACAGTGCACAGGGTAGAGAGACCCTCGTAAATTTCCACAGACTAGCTGATCTCAGGAAAGGAGTAAGCAGAAGTATGCTCACACTTGCAGGCACGGAGCCCCTGAGAATGTTTTTGTAGGGACACCTGGGAACGCTTTATATAACCAATC